TTTATGTTTCCTCTCCTGATGGTATCAGCTAGTTCTTGTATTTCTCTTTTATTATTTTTCATTCTTCAGTTTCTCTCTTCTTCCTTCTGATTTATTTATTTTTGATATTACTGATCTTTTCCTCCATTTGGTCGACTCTATTTCCCAGGCTTGCTATTTCTTTTTTCAACTCTTGTAGTGTGTTCTTTTTCTCCAGAAGTTCTATTTGGTTCTTTTTGAGGGTTTCAATCTCCTTGCTCTGCTCATCTAGGTGTTTTTTAATTCCTGAAATTGTCGATATGGTTTGTTTTGGATCTCATTCAGTTATTTCAGAAGTATCATCCTGAGGTCTCTGTCATTTAAGTCACATATTTCTTTGCGTAAGCTTATTTTCTGGAGATTTTTCTCTTTCTTACTGAGATGCCTTGTCACCTTGGTTGTTTATGGTGTTTAACGGACTATTTCTCTGCCTGGGCATTAGTGGAAGTGTATTCTGTTGTTTTTCCAGAAAGGAGATTTATTATATAAAGATCTCTCTTTAGCCTGCTGCAAAGAAGGTGCTTTTCTTTTGGTTTCCAATAGGTGGTGTCGAAGTCTCTTAGATCCCTGCTTTATATAAAGTCTTAATAATGCCTTTTATTTTTCCTTATAGATATTTTATCATGCTCGCTGCCTTCAGTTTCAGTCCCTGTCAGTGTCAGCAACAGTTTCGGTAGCGTTTGCTCAGATTCCCCTTGGGCTCCGTGGTGTTCAGTCTCGGAGGGTACTGTGGGAGGGGCCCTCTGGGTTGAGAGTTTGGGGCTGCAGCTCAGCCTCAATTTTGCAACCACAGCCAGTAAAAATCAACTGTTGCTTCTCTGCTTTCTGCCCTGATACTAGGCACTGCTGCCAGCCACGAGGACCTCCCAGCTCTCCCAGGCAGGGCTGTTCAGGGAACTAACTCCACCTCCTCCCCTCCCCTTCCCTCTACAGGGAGCTCTGGTGACTGCGAGAGGCAGCTTCTTTATTTCTCCCAGTCCATTGCCTGACACCCAGGGTTCTGAACTGTGGTAGCTCTTATGTGCAGATCCCATGCTCAGATGTGCTGATGTGCAGTTTGGGTGTTTTTTGTTGAGTTTTAGATGCTCAACTTATTGTTGTTTCAAGGGAAGAGATCTGGGGACCTCTCTCACTAGTGATTGGAAGAGAATCAAAAGAAAATCAAAACAATGTGCTGTCATGAAAGGTACAGGAACAGAAAGCCAAGTGAGAGTGGTCTATAATAACAGAAACCCCAGATAGGTCAAAGATAATTACCTCAAAAGTCTGCAACAAAGCATGAATTTTTTACCACTTTAGTTTTGTAGTGTTCTGGGAATAAAATTCAGGTTGCAAGATGGTAGTAGCAGCAGAAATAGAGTTGTCTGGTATTTATTGAGCACTTAACATATGCCTAGGGTTGCCTGGATGCTCCTGTAAATTTGAATTTCAGGTAAATAATGAATAATTTTTAGTATAAATATGTTCGATTTTAGATAAAGAATCTGAAATTCAAATTTAACTGGGCATCATGTATTTTTATTTGTTAAATCTAGCAACCTTACATATATAAGGTGCTATGCTAAAAGTTTTACATACATAACTCATTTAATCCTTATAACATTCAACTCATTCAGAAAGTTTATTGTGTTTTCTTTCTCTCTTCCCCAAGAAAGCCTTATAGGGTCTGTACTGACAATAAGAAATAACCCTAATTTCACACATATGCATTGATTAATATAGCTATTTATTAAGGCACACCAGTGCTGAGAATATGACAGGGAACAAAACAGACACTATTCCTTCCTTTATGGAGCTTATGATATAGCCTCTCTTAGCCCCTCATTGAGAGAAAGCCAGTAAGATCACTAAATCTATATGAGTGTGTGTGTGTGTGTGTGTGTGTGTGTATGTGTGTGTGTATTGATGTAATGTTTACTGAGTCTCTAAAGAGCTTCAAGAGCCACTTAAATCTAGAGTAAAATGCTGAGTGTCTGGCACCATACCATATAGATGATCAGCATTGACAAGAATGTTAGAAATGTTCAAATCACCTTTTATTCAGTATGAGTAACTATTTAGGACAGAAGTTTAAACAGAGAGTTTAAATAGAGAATAGATATTTCCATGATATCTTAAAAGTATAAAACAGAAAACAGTGGTATTCAATAATATAACTTATCTGACTCAGTGATTTTATTTATTAAAACATCTCGAATTTGTCCTACATAAAGCAAACATGGGTCCCTAAATTAGCACAACATGATTGATTTGGGAACGCTGAACATATTAGAACTTCTAAGTCAATATCTTAACAAGCTACATTGTCAATGGAGATTCAGAGCCTACATCATGAACCATTTAAGTCATGGACTTTGATATTCATTTTAGTACAACTTTTATCTAGGAGTCAATTCTTGATTATAGAAATGCTTAGAGATATAGTGAAAGGAACCTGGAATTAGGCATAAGACAACACAACATATTTTTCATACATCATCATTTACTAACATTTTATTTTAATAAGTCATTCTTTCTCTTTGAGCCTAAATACTTAGAAGAAGTTTAAGTCTTATAGCAATTGGAAGAGAATCAAAAGAGAATCAAAACAATGTGCTGTCACAAAAGGTAAAAGGACAGAAAACCAAGCATAACAATTCTTGCCTATTGCAAATGGTCATTGTGTGAGCTAATGTACATGAAAGTCCCCCATAAATTGTAAATTCTATACAAGTGTAAGGAGACCTCATTGAGACCTCATTGTTCTTTATAATCTGCAAGAATATAAGGATTTATGATTCATGTAATACAAATTTGATTAGGATGATTTTGGAATTCATCTGATACATTTGACAATATGATATTTTAAAGACATAAGAGTATAGTGCAAAGCATTTTTGTCTCATTTCAGCCACCAACTAACACTGTTAGTAATTTCCTCATCTGAAAAATAAGAGTATTATACTCTAATGGCCCTTCCCATGTCTGTCTCTTCTCTATGATACCTGGATGCATAGTGTTAATGAGGGAAGATGGTGCCAGATCAGGCTGAGATATGATGTAAAGTTAGCCTAGACTTAAATTTTTGTTGCAGAGGATTCACAAAGTGAAAAATTCACACATGTATTATGAAATTAAAATTCTAATATATCAACAGAAGGCAACTGTTTGATTCCTCCTGTCTCAGCTATATCTTTGTCTAGTAGAAGTCTGCTCATCCTACACATATTTATGAAGACAAGTTGGTACTAGCAGCTGGCAAACAAAAGTCCATGAGTTTAAGGAGTTTATAGTTAAGAGAAGAGACAGCCAGAAAACTTGAAATTGCAGGTCATGATTATGAGTGTGAAGTAAGCATAGATACTTCCACACCAGAGAAGAGCAGGAAATCAAGCTTTAGTAGGTCGAGAAAGGGGTCTTAGAAAAAGACATTTACGATGACCCATAGAAGGAAGACAGTGAGTAGGTGAGTTGACCACATGTAAGTAGGATGGAATAGTATTTATTGAAAATAGTGGGGAAGGTGATCAATGTAGAGGGCACGAAAGAAATAATAGGTGGATAAAATATGGTAGAATTTAGGAGACAATGAGAGAGAGGAAAATGGTAAAAGTTTAGTTTGGATAGCTGAAGAGAAAAGAGAAAGAAGACTTATACCCCCAATCTGGGGGAGTTACATTTAGTTCTAACGGCAAAAGATCACCTTTTTACATTTTGACCAGGATAAATATTACTATCACTAGTATGGAGAAAAGAGAATGAATTAGACTCTAAACATTAGAAGAAATTAAGACTAGACTGAGTGGACTGGAAGCATTGGTGACGAACTATCAGAAAGAAAAAGAGTCAAGTGAAATAAGTAGGTTTCAAACAGCCTCGAAGTCTCAACATCTTATAGGAACGACATATGCCTGCCTCACTTACTTTATGTGGTGTTGGCTGCAGGTCAGCTACAGTGCTACTCCAAAAGTTTTCTCATTTCAGGACCCAAACTGAAGGAGAACCTATATGAGACATGCTACTCTTGGAGCAGAGAGAAATAACAAGACAGATGCAGGAAACAAGTAGTGGCATAAGTAACATTGACTCATAAACCACTGGCCAAAGCAAGTCACATGGTCAAGCCCAATGTCTTAAAAGAAGGCAATACATGTTTTCTTTGTCTAAACAATTCAGTCTGACACAATCCACCCTTCTGGTCACAAACAGTTGCTTACCTCTTTTATTCACACAAAATGAATGACACCAGGCTTGAAATTCAGGATCTTCTTGCAGTCTCTATAATAGATTTAGGCCTTCTTGGTTCAGACACCTATAAAACAATGAAAAAGTTATCTTCTCTACACACACCCAACAATGATGGAATAGAGAAAGGATAATTATGATAAACATTCCCATTTAACAAAGGGAATAAGTAGAAGGCACAGTAGTTGTTGGTTAACAGTAATCCTAAGACGTCACTGGGCAAATGTTTCAATAAACTCCTACCATTGGGGTTATGAATATTCCCTGTTTAGGGCCAGGTTCTGCTATTTTGGATTAGCTCCATTATCCATGCTTCTCCTTAGCCTTCTAGGAGGTATTCCCTTTTTTTCAACATCCTCCTTGGCCATATTTGAAGACAGCAATGAAGAATATGCAGTCCTTTGGGGCTAGGCAGATTTCTCAGTCTAAATACTGTCAGAAAAAGCTTTCTGGCATCATAATTGTTTTTAATCCAGGCTGGCAACTCTTGATAGCAAGAGCCTCTTTAAAACTTTTTACTTACTAGACTTACAATCAGCTTCATGTGCCAGTAATCACACCCAGTTATTTTTGTAATATATATCTTTCTACATTAACAACAGATACTTTAACTTATTCGCATTCTGTGAGAACAATTCTTTAGTCTTTGTCTCTGAGCTGATTTTATAAAACTAAAGGAATATACTGCCCTCCTCTCTACTTAATCCATATAAAGGTTTGAACAAAGGATACATGGCAGGCACATACTTGATTTGGTCTTTTTCCCAAGGCAGAGTCATAATCAGCCCTTATTGTTTAAAGTATTTCTGTTTTTCCTTGTTCCTAACCAGTTGGAGATAAAACACAGTTGCACCTTTCAACCAGTCAAGTCCCAGAATTTCTGTATTCTTTGTTCCTTTCCATCCCTACTTGCAAACTTCTCGGTTCTTTCCTAAGCTCCTTCCTTTCTATTAGAACCTTGGCCAAATAAAGGTATTAAAAACTAAGGCATACATGTAACATTCTGTTTCCTAACCTCTTCACCTAAAACCACAAGGGCATCAGGTACATTATCTGCTTCTATGTTATTACAAGTAATAGTTTTATCAAAAATTTTCCACAGACACACATAGGCTACAATCTTTTGAGCCTCCAATTTGTTTCCTTGCTATCCACTGCCTGATCTAAAAATCAATTCACATCTTTATTTGTTACAGCTGCACCCACTTCTTGGTGTCAATTTGGTGTCTGCATTTCCCTGATTAGTGAAGTTGAGCATCTTTTTCTATGGGTATATGCCATCCATCTATCCTCTATGATGAAGTGTCTTTTAAAGTCTTTTGCCCATTTTCTTTAATTGTATGTCTATTTTCTTATCAAGTTTTGAGCTTTCTTTATACATTCTAGATTTAAGTTCCTTGTCAGATACGTGATTCACAAATATTTTCTCCCAGTTTGTAGCTAGTTTTTCATCTTAACAGTCTTTCCCAGAACAAAAGTTTTTAATTTTGATAAAAGTCAATTTAACTTTTTGTTTTTTCTCTGAAGGATCATGCTTTTGGTACTATGTCTAAGAATTCTTTGCCCAATCCCAGGTCGCAAAGACTTTCTCCTACATTTGCTTTTAAAACCACTATAGTTTTACATTTTATGTTTAGATCTGTGACCTGTTCTAGGTTATTTTTGTATAGTAAGACTTTAAACAAGGTCCTTTTTAAAATCTTGAGTAATTATTCAGTCTTTATTTTTCATGACACTATGTTTTAAAGAGTACAATCCAGTTGTTTTCAGATTGTTGTTCAATTTGGTTTGTCTAATCATATCCTTAATACTAGATTCAGATTATGCATTTTTGTCAAGAAAACTACAAAATGACTCTGTGATTGCTCAGTATATAATAGTATGCATACAATCAACTGATTCATCATTTTGCAATATTATTTCGATTATTTTTGTACCTTGAAATTATTCATGCCCTCAGGTTCCCATTGGATTTTTTTCATGATAAAGATCTCTCATGTTTTAGTCTTTTTCTAGTATCTGCTAACCTATATTTATACAATATAGGAAATATACATATGTATGTGTTCTAGACAGATACATATTGAACAGACAAAATAGATATTTCTATATAGAACATTATCCTGAGAATATCATTTTATGTAGTATGATAAATAGCATTGTATTAACATTTATTGCATTAAAAAGTGATGTTAGGACACTCGGCGGAAACATGGCAGAGTGAGGGACGTCCCTAGATCTTTCCCCTTGAAACAACAATAAGCTGAACATCTAAAACTCAACAAAAACACCCAAACTGCACACCAGCACGTCTGAGCGTGGGATCTGCACATAAGAGTTACCACAGGTTAGAACCCCAGGTATCAGGCGGTGGATTGGGAGAAATAAAGAAGCTGCCTCTCGCAGCCCCTGGAGCTCCCTGCATGAGGAGGGGGGAGGGTAGAAGCTGCCGTGACTTTCCTAACAGCCCTACCTGGAAGTGCCGGGGCTTGTACGCAGCCAACCGGAGGGCCCAGTCATCAGGGCAGAAAGTGAGAAATGGGATAGGACCACAGAGAAACAACATCTGATTTGTATGGGCCCCAGTTGCAAAACCGAGGCTGAGCTGCAGTCCCCAAGCCACAACCTAGAGGTCCCCTCTCCCAATACTTTCTGAGACCAATCACCGTGGAGCCCCAGGGGAATCTGAGCAAACATTGACAAGACTGAAGCTACCTCTCGCAGCCTCTGGAGCTCCCTGCAGGAGGAAGGGGAGGGGAGAAAGAGCGCGAGTTCCTGCAGAGAGTTTCCTGAACATCTCTACCTTGGAAAGCAGTGAGCTATGGCCGACCAGCTGCAGGGCACAGTCATCAGGTCAGAAAGCAGAGAAGCAGGATAGGACCACAGAGAAACAACAGTTGATTTTTGCTGGCAGAAGTTGCAAAACCAAGGCTGAGCTGCAGCCACAACCCCCGACCTAGAGGGCCCCTCCCTCCCATACTCTCCAAGACCTATCATCATGGAGCCCCAGGGTCATCTGAGCAAATACTCCCAAAATTGCTAGGAATCCAAGAGGCTTAGAAGCCACCTACTGGAAACCAAAAGAAGAGTGCCTTCTTTGCAGCAGGCTAAAGAGAGACCCTTATTTAATAAACCTTATTTCTGGAAAAACAACAGAATACACTTCCACTAATGCCCAGAAGGAGAAATAGTCCATTAAACACCATGAACAATCAAGGTAACAAGGCATCTCAGAAAGAAAGAGAAACATCTCCAGAAAATAAGCTTACAGTCATAGAAATATGCAATTTAAATGACAGAGAATTCAGGATAGTACTTCTGAAAAAACTCAGTGAGATCCAAAAGGAGTCATGTCAACAATTTCAGGAATTGAAAAAACAACCAGATGATCAGAGCAAGGAGATTTAAACCCTCAAAAAGAACAGAATAGATATTCTGGAGATAAACAACACACACACACACACACACACACACACACACACACATCGTAAGATTGAAAAATGAAACAACAAGCTTGGGAAATAGCGTC